ACATAGCATGTATTTAGGCGCCTGGTGTTAGCAGACGCGCCTAAACAATCGGTTTTTTAATTCTAGTAAAACAAGAGCAAATTTTAAGCGGTTAAGAGATCATGTGGATTTTTAATGATTTTTTATTGTTTGTTTGTTTTTTTATTGTTGTAGAATAAAATGCGTACATGCATAAAACCGCAAAATTTGCAATGCGATTTTTTAGCCGCTTAAAACTGTCACTTATTTCATTAGAATTAAAAAACCGATCTATCTGCATACTCAAAATTTTTCTAACCATTAAAAAGGTCAAAAATTTAGACGAAAATTCGTTGAATATTTTTAAGTTCTGTATAAGGTTCGAAAGTTTATATTTATAAAAAAATAACAAAAAAAATAATCAACTTGAAAATCATTGTAAATATTAAATAAAAAGGATCAGTCCAGCGGCTTCGTGTTGACCTGGACGAACTTTCGTACAAATTTCGAGCTTTTTTAATCAACCGTATTTTTTAACCATTTTAAACTTGTAGTTTATTCTACTAGAATTCAGTGGGCTACAAAACTGCATGCTCAGAATCTAATTAAAAAGTCGAAATTTTTACGATTTTTTTTTAGTTGCATACATTTTTAAGACAGTATCACCGGGTTGGTACATTTGTACATTTCTTAGCTGCAATTTTTTACGCGTCTTTTGAGCTTGCGCCGTTACTACTGACGATATACCTAACGAGGTATTGATCACTTCAGCCGGCACTTGTTCCATGTTAATTTCATTACAGATTTTCACCGAAAACACAATGCCCAGCAAATGAACCAAAACCAACTCAAAACGTACTTATATGCATATAACGTATGTACATTGGGGTGGTCCTTAAAAATCAAATGAACAATATTTTTTTCAGTCTCGCCCCCTCAATCGGAAACAAAACGATCACAAATATCACATATAAATTTTGGTTCCGATTGGAGACCGTTAAGGCGTGTCGCACAGGGGGCAAAGTTCTGATTACTCTACACAGACTCAAAAAATTATAATTAATTTTCTTTTCACCTAATACCCAAAATCGATACTACTTTAGT